TGCAAGCTTCCTGTCTACTCACAGAACAACACCTTGAGCCACTGAAGGCTAGGGTACCAAAGTGAGTTAGTTTCCAAATGCTTGCCTATGTAGTCGCACAAGTCTGGGATGCCGGGCTCAGCCCTCCACTAGGAACTTGGAGGGGAAAAGAAAGGAGAAGCAGTTCTTTTGTGTCTCCACTGGTTGTTGTTACTTCCTTCTCTTGGTTACAGAATTCCCCAGAGTACCATGTTCTGCACACATCACAATCTACCTTCTAACCATCATTGGCCATAAAGTTTGAGTGAAGGGCAATTTGGAACATAGTCATTCCTGAAGGGAGCTTCCACAGTCTGGTGAGACTCCCTCTACAGATTCAGCCCCTTCATGTTTATTGAACATCTACTATGTACCAGTGTGTTGAGTACTTTGATCATATGTTACCGAAATGTCATTCCAGACTCTTCACTATGCCTTGGTCCCTAAATCCAATCTATCATCAAATCCTGTCTCTTCTACCTTCTGATTTTTTAACTTTTATTTTTTTGAGGAGAAAGGAAGAGAAATTTATTACTTTGTTAGCAAAGGAGGAAAATGGCATTCTATGGTCTCAAAATCCAAATTCTGGGGAAGCTGAGGCAGGTGGATTGCTTGAGTTCAAGTGTTTGATACCAACCTGACCGAGAGCGAGACCCTGTTTCTAAAAATACCCAGGCATTGTGGCAAGTGCCTGTAGTCCCAGCTACTTGGGAGGCTGAGGCAAGAGAATCATTTGAGCCCAAAAGTTTGAGGTTACTGTGAACTGTGACACCATGGCCCTCTACCAAGAGTGACAAAGTGAGTCAAAAAAATAAAATCTAAATTTTTGCTTCTGAGAAGCACTGAGCTTTTATTTTCTCTTTTCAAATAAACAATCTAATTTTTTCCATTTGTTTTTTCTTTACAGATTAATATTGGGGTACATACAATTAGGTTACAGTTTGCCTTTATAAGGCTAAAATCCAGGTAGCAGTTGTGCCCTTCACCCAGAAGTGTACGGTATACCCGTGCAATGTACCCTACAGATGGAAATTTACCCAACTCCTTCTCCCCATCCCATCACTTGAATTTAATTGAGTTTTTCTCCCATGGGAGCACAGAGTTGTTCACCTACTGTTTTTAACTAAGTACTGAATATATGTAATACTTCGCTTAGGATAATGTTCTCCAAATCCATTCAAGTTGGCCGAGCATGGTGGCTCATGCCTGTAATCCTAACATTCTGGTAGGCTGAGGCAAAAGAACTGCTTGAGCTCAGGAGTTCAAGACCGGCCTGAGCAAGAGCAAGATCCCATTTCTAGTAAAAATAGAGAAACTAGCTGGACATGGTGGTGCACGCTTGGACGCTGAGGCAAGAGGATGGCTTGAGCCCAAGAGTTTGAGGTTGCTGTGAGCTGTGATGCCATGATGCTCTACCCAAGGCAACAGAGTAAGACTCTGTCTCGAAAAACAATAACAAAACAAATCCATTCAGGTTGTTACAAAAGATGTGAAATCTCCTTTTCTCATGGCTATTCTCCATGATAGACATATTCCATAGTCTATTAATCCATTCATGTGTTGAAGGGCACCTGGGCACATCTTTGCAATTGCAAATTAAGCTGCTATGAACATTTGAGTGCAAATGTCCTTATGGTAAAATGATTTTCTTTTTGTTTTGGGTATATACCTAGTAATGGGATTACAGGATCAAATGGTAGGCCTACTTTTACTTCTTTGAGAACTCTCCATGCTTCTTTCCACAGTCTCTTTCCTTAGCTGCTTGAGCTATAGGCCCCAGTTTTATCTTTCATTACAAATGTAATGCTTCAGCTAAACAGACAGGGTCTTGCTCCATCATCCACTGTAACATTGAACTTCTGGGCTTGCGATCCTCCCACTTCAGCCTCTCAAGTAGCTAGGACTACATGTGTATCCTCCAACATAGAACTGAAACTCCAAGACTATATTATGCCATGGAATATCAGCTAATTTTTTTTTTTTTTGAGACAGTGTCGCTTTGTTGCCTTGGTAGAGTGCCATGGCTTCATACCTCACAACAACCTCAAACTCTTGGATGCAAGCAATTATCTTGCCTCAGCCTCCCAAGTAGCTGGGACTACAAATGCCTGCCACAATGCCTGGCTATTTTTTTTTTCTTCCCAGAGATGAGGTCTCACTCTGGCTCTGGTCTGGAACTTCTGAGCTCAGATGATCCACCTGCCTTGGAACTCCCAGAGTGCTGAGATTACAGGCGTGAACCACTGCACCCTAATTTTTTTTTAATTAATTATTTTGAAATGGAGTCTCATTCTGTTGCCCTTGGTAGAATGCCATGGCATCATAGCTCATAGCAACCTCAAACTTGCTGGGTTTGAGCAATCTTCTTGCCTCAGCTTCCCCGGTACCTGTGACTATAGCCACTTACCCACCACATCTGGCTAGTCTTTCTATTTTTTACTAGAGATGGGGTCTTGCTCTTGCTCATGCTGGTCTTGAACTCCTGAGCTCAAGTGATCCACCTGCCTTGGCCTCCCAGAATGCTAGGATTAAAGGTATGAGCTACCATGCCTGGCACTAATTTATTTTTTTTAAGACAGGGTCTTGTTATATTGCCTAGGCTGGTCTTGAACTCCTGGCCTCAAGCAATGCTCCCGCCTCAACCTCCCAAAGTGCTGGATTAAAGGCATAAGCCACTGTGCCTAGCCCAGAATTGCTTTTCCTTGTTCTCCTAAAGAATTCCCACTTTTCCTTCAAAACTTGGCTTAGGAGCTGTTTTAACAAAGTGTTTACTGACTGCTCAAGTTTAAGGTAGACATTTTTTTTTTTTTTTTTTTTTTGAGACAGAGCCTCAAGCTGTCCCCCTGGGTAGAGTGCCATGGCATTACAGCTCACAGCAACCTCCAACTCCTGGGCTCAAGCAAGTCTCCTGCCTCAGCCTCCCAAGTAGCTGGGACCACAGGCACCCGCAACAACACCCAGCCATTTTTTTGGTTGCAGCCATCGTTGTTTGGCAGCCCGGGCTGGATTTGAACCCGCCACCTTAGGTATATGTGGCTGGCGCCTTAGCCACTTGAGCCGCTGGCGCCAAGCCAGTGTTGAGATTCTTTTAGCATCTTCATTATAGGTACTACTTGAATATTGATGATTTAACACAAGATTAGGGTTCTGCTTGGGAGCTGCAATGAAACAATGGAAGAGATGTCCAAGAACATAAGCAAGAATGGGGTGAAATGATGGAATGCAGAATCTAGGGTGCATGGGTAAAGAAAAGCTAGAAAAAGGCCAAAGCCTGGGATTGAGGGATGGGAGGCAGAGAAAAGAATAAGGGAAGAATCCAGACTTTTGTATCTTCCATCCTCCAACACAGAACCAAAACTCCAAGACTAGATTATGCCATGGAATATCAGTAAATTCCTATTTATTGACAGCCTGAACTTGCTGGCAGGATGGTTGCAAAGTTCGTTGGAAGCCAGCTCTACATCTTCAATGTAGCAAGATGGAGCAGTTGACCAGGGTGCACCATGGCAAGGAGGCCCATATAATCTTGCCCATCTTCTACTCCCGTAAGCTGGCCCCTGGATAGGTAGCTTGGTGGTAGATCTAATTTCATCATGTATAGTAATTAAGACCTAAGTCTGAAAGGACTCCTATGTCAGGCTATTTTGACTTTATCATATATTCTTATGGTCAAATTGTGGTATTCATAAAAATGTAAACTTGGGGGTGGCGCCTATGGCTCAGTGGGTAGGGCGCCAGTCCCATGTACCAAGGGTGGAGGGTTCAAACCCAGCCCCAGCCAAACTGCAACAAAAAAAAGCCAGGCACTGTGGCAGGCACCTGTAGTCCCAGCTACTTGGGAGGCTGAAGCAAGAGACTCACCTAAGCCCAGGAGTTGGAGGTTGCTGTGAGCTGTGTGACGCCATAGTACTCTACCGAGGGCAATAAAGTGAGACTGTCTCTACAAAAAAAAAAAAAAATCTGAACTTGTTTTTTAAAAATACCAGGCAAGGCATGCTGGCTCACACCTGTAATCCCAGGACTTTGAGAGGCTGAGGCAGGAGGAGCACTTCAGACCAGGAGTTCAAGACCAGCTTGGGCAACATAGTGAGACTCCATCTTTTAAAAAAATTAAATATTAGGCTCCGCGCCTGTAGCTCAGTGGCCAGGGCATCAGCCACAAACACCAGAACTGGCAGGTTCAAACCCAGCCCAGGCCTGCCAAACAACAATGACAACTACAACCAAAAAATAGCTGGGCATTGTGGCAAGCACCTGTAGTCCCAGCTACTTGGGAGGCTGAGGCAAGAGAATTGTGTAAGCCCAAGACTTAGAGGTTGCTGTGAGCTATGACGCCACAGCACTCTACTCAGAGTGACATAGTGAAACTGTCTCCAAAAAAAAAAAAAAAATTTAAATATTAGCTAGGTGTTGTGGCTCACACCTGTAGTCCTGGATATTTGGGAGGAAAGGACTCAGGACACCTTTTATAAATAAATAAATAAATATTTAAAGACTTTTGGCCACGTACGGTGACTCATACCTGTAATCCTAGCACTCTGGGAGGCCAAGGCAGGTGGATTGCTTGAGCTCCAGCAAGAATGAGACTCCATCACTACTAAAAATAGAATAACTAGCCAGGTGTGCTGGCCCATACCTGTAGTCCTGGCTACTCCAGAGGCTGAGGCCAGAAAACTACTTGCGGTTGCTGCAAGGTATGATGATGCACAGCACTCTACCCAAAGCGACAGAATAAAATTGTCACAAAACAAAACAAAACTTTTAAAAATACTGATGTCCCTGAGCTCCTGATTAAAAAAATAATAATCCTCCCATAGCTGGGCATTGTGGTGGGCGCCTATCATCCCAGCTACTTGGGAGGCTGAGACAAGAAAATAGCTTACGCCCAAGAGTTTGAGGTTGCTGTGAGCTGTGATGTCACCACACTCCTCTACCCAGGGCGACAGCTTGAGACTCTGTCTCAAAAAAAAAAAAATCCTTCCAGAACCAATGTGAAAAATAATCCAAGAAGAAAGAGACTAGTAAGATAGCTCTTATGGTAACAGAGAATGGGTCCTGAACCAAGGCTGTGGTGGAGGGCAAGTATTTGGAAGATGTTCAGAAAATAAATGGAGAGGGGTTGATGACACTGATATTTGAGGGATAGGTATTGAGAAAGAGGCCCAGATTTCAAGCTTTAATTGACAATTAAAGATGTCAATTAAAGATGATTCCAAAGCCACTCGAAGTTACTTTTCTAGTCATGAAATTGTTTTAAAAAGGGAGAATGGCTGAATCTGAAAGCGATAATCATAGGAATAGGTATGAAGGCCTTTTCAGGCCAGAAGCCACTTGGGATTTGCCCTTATACTTCCTCCCTCAGGGAGAGACGACCTTAATGACCAGGCTTCCTGACACGATGCTCACAAGTGACCAAAGAGAAGTCACTGTTCAGGGGTTCGATTTCCAGGATGAACTCCCTTGACTGCAGATCCCTTTTTGAAATAGCTGAGACAACACAAGGGTAAACTTTTCCCAAATAATGTGCAATACAAAGTTAAGAGAAGCTCAAAGACGTACAGAAAGTGAAAAGAACAAAATCATAGAAAAAAATGAATGGACAGCAAGAATTGTTCACCTCTGACTAACAATAATCCTCGTAAGCTACCCAAATCACAGAGTAAAAGGACATTTTATCTCTGCGAGCCTCTCCGCACCGGACCCGCCCCCAGCTTGCTAGGAGTTGGGCATCGAAAGGTCGCTGTTCCTGTACTGGGAAGTCATTTTTTTTTTTTTTTTGAGACGGAGCCTCAAGCTATCCCCCTGGGTAGAGTGCCATGGCATCATGCTCACAGCAACCTCCAACTCCTGGGCTCAAGCGAGTCTCCTGACTCAGCCTCCCAAGTAGCTGGGACTACAGGCGCCCGCCACAACGCCTGGCCATTTTTTGGTTGCAGCCATCATTGTTGTTTGGTGGGCCCGGGCTGGGGATTCGAACCCACCACCTTAGGTGTATGTGGCTGACGCCTTAGCCGCTTGAGCCACAGGCGCCGAGCCCTGGGAAGTCATTCTTATCTATGCCTTTATTCTATTGATGCACGCAAGGTGGGAGAGGAGTAAGGTGAGATTCAGACGGTGGGACTTTCCTCTGGGAACTACGCGCAAAGCCTCACCCCTGCCCGGGTCTGGGGGTCCCCTAGCCGCCTCGCGGGGCAAGTGGCAAGTCCCATCTCTTCAGCTGGCGAACGCTTCCGGGCATCCACTGGGCGCAGACCCAGTCGCCGCCGGTGCTCCAACTCCCTGGTCATCTCCGCACGCGTGTAGTAGTCACAGCTCTCAGGCCTCCGTCAGCGCGAGCCGCAGGCGGATGTTCCCAACCCGGGCTCTCGCGCACCGAATCTTCCCGGGAACAAGCGGGCAGGCTGGCGGCGACTCTTGCTGAAAAAGGGCACCTGCGTTTCGCTGCTAAGCTTCAGCCTCCTCCCCGCGAAACTGTCCGCTACAAGTCCCAGTAGTCACGGTCACCGCTCCCCCTCCCCCGACTCCGGGAAACAGCTTTCGGCCAGGCTGAGGTCCCGACAGTGAGGGCGGAAGTGATAAGACTGACGTGTCCTGGGCTGCTCCCCTGATCGCCAGGAGGACCCCCCGCCGGGAACGGGCGAACCCAGCCTCGCGGGGTCCTTGGAGCTGAGTTGGGCCTCCGGCTGGAGAAACCTTATCTGGGAACACTTGAGGGAGCCGAGTGCGGGGTCCAGACTTGTGTACCCGCAGCCTCCGCGATCAGGCGCAGCGGCGGACAACCCCGCGGAGATCGGCCGTCAGGTCCTCCCCAACCCGCCGCTACCGCACCGCTCCGGGGGAGACCCCGGCCCGAGCCCAAGGGCAGCTACAGGGCTGCAGAGGCCGCTGGCGCCGCCTCAGCCAGCCCTTCCCGCGCGGTGAGGACCCCGGGGCTGTGGCGGGAAGGGACCCGAGGTGCGAGGCCACCGCGTTGCTATGGAAACGGGCCAGCGCGCGCTCTAGAGGCCCCGGCCGGGTGGGCGTGCTGCGGGAATCCCAAGTTGGAAGGGGATAGAACCCTGTCTTTGGGATTGAGAGACATGGAGTGAGTGGTGTGCGGGAGAATAGGGCCACTGGGAGGGCGTGGAGCTATGGGCATCAATTCGAGAGACCTAACCTAGGGCATCATTAGTTGATCCCTGGTTTCTGTAACCCTAGAACTCCCCCAAACAGGTTCCACTGCCTTAAGGATGACAATCCTAGGGCACCCTCGAAGCTGGAGCTGCTGCCAGTGGTTGCCAATCCTGATGCTACTACTGGGCACAGGCCATGGGCCAAGGGTGGAAGGCGTGACACACTACAAGGCCGGCGACCCTGTCATTCTGTATGTCAACAAAGTGGGACCCTACCATAACCCTCAGGAAACTTACCACTACTATCAGCTTCCAGTCTGCTGCCCTGAGAAGATACGTCACAAAAGCCTTAGCCTTGGTGAAGTGCTAGATGGGGACCGAATGGCTGAGTCTTTGTATGAGATCCGCTTTCGGGAGAATGTGGAGAAAAGAATTTTGTGCCACATGCAGCTCAGTTCTGCCCAGGTCAGCCTCTTCACATTGGTTATCACTTAGCCCTCCTTCCCAGGGACTAACAGTGCCTTACATTTAAGGTTCAGAGTACCTTTACTGGAAAATATCTAATTTGATTCTAACTAAAATCCCATGTGGCAGGCAGGGCAGGGGATTTTATTGTAATTCAATTGACTAAGAAACATACTTAATCAAGATTACATAGATAGTGATTGCAGAACTGATCTTGTTAGAACCCAGGGCTCCTACTGCAAGCTTCTTTGTTGGTAATAACGACCCAGCTGTCACTCCTATGTAGTTCTTTTTCCTTCCATACCTACCTCTTTTTAACTGGCTTCTTTAGTCTCTAGCTTCCCTTCCTTGACACACTTTTTATTTAGTGAATCCTAGCACTTCTGTCTATTCCAGACCTTCTTACACCTTGCCTCTCTCCTTTTTCTAGGGCTTAATCTTGTCATTGCATACTTACTCTTTTTTGAAGAACCCCAACCAAGAGTCTAACCAAGTGATTCTTAACAGGGGACAGTTTTGTCTCCCGAGAGATATTTTGTGATGTCTGGAGACATTTTTGATTGTCACAACTGAGGAGTGCTACTGGAGGATAGTGGGAAGAGGCCAGGGATACTTCCTACAATACCTGGGACAGCCCCCCCACACACACACAACAAAGAATTATCTAGCCCCCAAATGTCAGTAGTGCTGAAATTGAGAAACCTTGCTCTAACCCTATGCCAGGAGAGGGAAGGCCCTGTGTGACCAATTCCTGACTTGCTCCTTATAGGTGGAGCAGCTGCGTCAGGCCATTGAGGAACTATACTACTTTGAATTTGTGATAGATGACTTGCCAATCCGTGGCTTTGTTGGCTACATGGAGGAGAGTGGCTTCCTGCCACACAGCCACAAGATAGGACTCTGGACCCATTTGGACTTCCACCTAGAATTCCATGGAGATCGAATTATATTTGCCAATGTTTCAGTACGGGATGTCAAACCCCACAGCTTGGATGGGTTACGACCTGATGAATTCCTAGGCCTTACTCACACTTACAGCGTGCGCTGGTCTGAGACTTCGGTAGAGCATCGGAGTGACAGGCGCCGTGGTGACGATAGTGGTTTCTTTCCTCGAACCCTAGAAATCCATTGGTTGTCCATCATCAACTCCATGGTGCTTGTGTTTTTACTGGTGGGTTTTGTGGCTGTCATTCTAATGCGTGTGCTTCGGAATGACCTGGCTCGGTACAACTTGGATGAGGAGACCACTTCTGGAAGTTCTGGTGATGACTTTGACCAGAGTGACAACGGCTGGAAAATTATCCATACAGATGTCTTCCGCTTCCCTCCATACCGTGGTCTGCTCTGTGCTGTGCTTGGTGTGGGTGCCCAGTTCCTGGCCCTTGGCACTGGTGAGGTGATAAGAATTAATCAGGGATTTCTCTCAAGGGGTAGAACTAGGTAGGTAGTTTGTCCAGAAAAGGTCAGTAGATCTTCTCTGAGATGAGGGGCAGCCCTAAGGGATGGGATGCCTCTATTGAGGATGTGTATCTTCTATTGTGGGTTTTCTGGACAACAGAACTGGGGAGATGGTTTTGCTGGAGGTCCGGGGTCTGGGAGAAGAGGAGCTGATTCGTCTGAAATTGCTAGAAGAGAGACAGGTAAGGCCTAACACAGGCTTTCCACTACCCCCCACAGGCATTATTGTCATGGCGCTGCTGGGCATGTTCAATGTGCACCGTCATGGGGCCATTAACTCCGCAGCCATCTTGTTGTATGCCCTGACCTGCTGCATCTCTGGCTACGTGTCCAGCCACTTCTACCGGCAGATTGGAGGTGAACGTTGGGTATGGAACATCATTCTCACCACCAGTCTCTTCTCTGGTGAGGATTTCCTTTTCCCTAGTGGGCCTGGCTGGACTTAGGAACCAAGAACACGTTATGGAATGTGGTACAGAGTTAAAGTGAGACTTGAAAGGAAGGAATATAGGCAAAAGAAATAGAACTAATAAGAAATCCTAACTCAGTGTCCATAGCCTAGTGAGTAGGGTGCCAGTCACATACATCGAGGCTGGTGGGTTTGAGCCTGGCCTGGGCCTGCTGAACAATGACAACTACAATCAAAAAATAGCCAGGTGCTGTGGTAGGCACCTGTGGTCCCAGCTACTTGGGAGGCTGAGGCGAGAGAATTGTGTAAGCCCAAGAGTTGGAGGTGCTGTGAGCTGTGATGCCACAGCACTCTACTGAGGGCAACATACTGAGACTCTGTCTCAAAAAAAAGAAAGAAAGAAAACCTGCAAAAAAAAACAAGAGGGCTGGATGCGGTTGCTCACACCTGTAATCCTAGCACTCTGGGAGGCCAAGGTGCGTGGACTGCCTGAGCTCACAGGTTTAAGACCAACCTAAACAAGAGCAAGACCCTGTCTCTAAAAAATAGCCAGGTCTTGTGGTGGGTTCCTGTAGTCCCAGTTATTTGGGAGGCTGAGGCAAAAGAATCACTTTAGCCCAAGAGTTTGAGGTTGCTGGCTTGGCGCCTATGGCTCAACCGGCTAAGGCGCCAGCCACATATACCTGAGCTGGTGGGTTCGAATCCAGCCCGGACCCGCCAAACAACAATGACAGCTGCAACCAAAAAATAGCCGGGCGTTGTGGTGGGTACCTGTAGTCCCAGCTACTTGGGAGGCTGAGGCAGGAGAATCGCTTGAGTCCAGGAGTTGGAGGTTGCTGTGATGCTATGGCACTATACCCAGGACAACAGCTTGAGGCTCTGTCTCAAAAAAAAAAAAGTTTGAAGTTGCTGTGAGCTATGATGCCATGGAACTCTACCGAGGTCAACAAAATGAAATTCTGTCTCAAAAAAACAAAATACAAGAATACATTTCTTTATTTCTTTTAAATAGTTAAAAATTATTAAGCCTTTAAAATGTCCTTCACAAGCAGGGCACAGTGGTTCACACCTGTAATGCGAGCACTGTGGGAGGCCAAAGCAGGACTGCTTAAGGCCAGGAGTTTGAGACCAGCCTGAGCAAAAGCAAGACCCCATCTCTATAAAACATAGAAAAATTACCTGGGCATGGTGGTGTGGGCCTGTTAGCCCCAGCTACTTGAGAGGCCGAGGCAGGAGGATCACTTGAGTCCAGTTTGAGGTTGCAATAAACTATAATGATGCTACTGCACTCTAGCTTTGGTGACACAGCAAGACCCTGTCTCAAAGAGAAAACAAAAAACTCTTGGCAGCATGGTGAGCACTCAACATCCCTTCCTTTCAATTAATCTTCACAAAAACTGTGTAAAGTAGAAGTTACCATTGCACAGATGAGGATTTTTTTTTTTTTTTTGAGACAGAGCCTCAAGCTGTCCCCCCTGGGTAGAGTGCCGTGACATCATAGCGCATAGCAACCTCCAACCCCCGGGCTCAAGCTAGTCTCCTGCCTCAGCCTCCCAAGTAGCTGGGACTACAGGTGCCTACCACAAGGCCCGGCTATTTTTTGGTTGCAACAGTCATTGTTGTTTGGCAGGCCCGGGCTGGATTCGAACCCGCCACCTTAGATGTATGTGGCTGGTGCCTTAGCCACTTGAGGCACAGGCGCTGAGCCACAGATGAGGATATTGAATTTACACTCCTAAAAGTAGTGAACCAGGTTTCAGACCCAGGAATTCTGACTCTAGAACCTGTAGTTGCAACCTTTCCACCAAAATAACACCCTTGAATTTATTTTTTGATATTTCCTTTCTTTCACTTTTTTTTTGTTAGTTTTCTTTTTACTTTTTTGAAGTAGGCCTTCTGTAGCTTTTCAAGCCATATTGCCCTTTCAAAGATGGTAGTGGCCTGGAATCTGAACCCTTCTAGTTTTCAATTTTGTGTGTCTGATTTATTCCATTACATTTATATTTGAATCAGGGCTTTCTAAGACAGGGCCTTAATCCAAAGGAATATTTCATGCTAGGAATTAACCAGTACTGTGACCAGACAGGTCCCTGGAGGCAGGTGGATTTGTGTCACTCCCAGATCATCATGTAGCAGCTACCTTGATCTTTGATGACACTGGGTGTGTGTGTGTGTGTGGGGGGGTATTGGTAAGATAAAGAATTAATAACAATCCAATATGAAACCAGGTGGATATTGTATGCACATATAGGAGCACAGGTCTGCTGTTAGCTGCTTAAGCCCCTCCCACTGGGGGCCAGTGTGAGTGGATGCCTTTAGGGATATAACTCCTAGTGCTGACCCTCCCTCTGGGGGCCCATTCCACAGTGCCTTTCTTCCTGACATGGAGTGTGGTAAACTCAGTGCATTGGGCCAATGGTTCGACACAGGCTTTGCCAGCTACCACCATCCTACTGCTTCTGACGGTTTGGCTGCTGGTTGGCTTTCCCCTCACTGTCATTGGAGGCATCTTCGGGAAGAACAATGCTAGCCCCTTTGATGCACCTTGTCGCACCAAGAACATTGCCCGGGAGATCCCACCCCAGCCGTGGTACAAGTCTACTCTCATCCACATGACTGTTGGAGGCTTCCTGCCTTTCAGGTATTCTTTTATTCCATGGCTTTCACACAAAGGTTCCTGACCTCAGCTTTTTCCTGTTCCCACTCTTCCAGGACTCTAACCTAACATCAGCAATCACCCCTGGTTCACCTTTACTGTTCAGAGATCATTAAACAGTTCCTCTTATCCCTAAGCAGGACTGAGCTCAATTGAATCAGTCCAGATACAAGAGTGTCTCACATGTAAAGGTCTTTAGAGACATTACTCCCTTTGCCATCTTTCTGGTTTCTGATTTGAGTCCCTATAGGCATGTGGGGCTTAAAGCCATTTGATTACTCATTTCATTTGTTGAGTACCTCTTTATGCCAGGCAGATAATGCAGTGCTAAATAAAATAGACAAGATCTCTGCTCTCAATCTATCAGGAAAGATGTTCTTGAAATGAGAGCAGCTAATTATAGGCAACTCCCCCCCACCCCCTGCCCCCCCCCAAAAAAAATTCCCCATGAAGCCAGTGAGTGGAATGGACTCAACTTCCACAGTGACCCAGCAACATGGGTGGGTGGGGGCTGGATTTTGGCCCAGCCACTGTGCTGACAGTGCACAGCCGTTTAATGCTGTGTGTCATCTCTTCTCTTGACAGTGCCATCTCTGTGGAGCTGTACTACATCTTTGCCACAGTGTGGGGTCGGGAGCAGTACACTTTGTATGGCATCCTCTTCTTTGTCTTCGCCATCCTGCTGAGTGTGGGGGCTTGCATCTCCATTGCACTCACCTACTTCCAGTTGTCTGGGGAGGATTACCGTTGGTGGTGGCGATCTGTGCTGAGTGTTGGCTCCACAGGCCTCTTCATTTTCCTCTACTCAGTTTTCTACTATGCTCGACGTTCCAACATGTCAGGGGCAGTACAGACAGTAGAGTTCTTTGGCTACTCCTTACTCACTGGTTACGTCTTTTTCCTCATGCTAGGCACTATCTCCTTTTTTTCTTCCCTAAAGTTCATCCGTTATATCTATGTTAACCTCAAGATGGACTGAGTTCTGGATGGGAAAACTATTTCCTTTCTCCCTGTTCTTCAAACCCCATTGAGCTCTCCTCCCAGCTTCTCTCCTCATTGAGTGACTGAATTATGTGTTGGCATTGTTGCCTTCCCTTTGCCCTTTGGGCCTTCTTTTCCCAAAGAGGGCCTGGAAATTATAAGTCTATTATATAAGGAGTATATATTTGAACTTTTTGAGTTGCCTTTAGATTTGGTCCTGATTTTTCTTTTTATAATTATCCAAATAAAGTTTATTAAGAAAAAAGATCCTGTAGTTGGAGGTTTTGGTCTAAATACTGGAACTCAAGCCTTGCCGTTAAGGCCAAGGTGCCTTGGAAAGCTGAGTTTTCCAGCAGAGTTTGGAAAGTCTCGGCATGTGGGACCTACTTTGCCAGGGCCTAGTTTCCGCGGCTCAGCGGGTGCTCAGCCTATTGGAAGTAGCTGAACTGGAGCTCCGTGTGGGAAGTGAGTTGAATCACCCCGGCTACCCGAGGCCGGGTGGCGACGCCCTTTCCGCCGGAAGTGGGTGTCAGAACCTCCACGTGCTGTCCCTCCCCCTCCCGGTCCCGTAGCGGCGGCTCAGCTGCTGCCATGGAGCCCGCCGGCCTGGAGCAGCTCCTACGCGAGCTGCTGCTGCCGGACACCGAACGCATACGCCGGGTACGGGGCAGGTGGGACCCGGCCAGGGTGAGCGGGAGGTTGGGGAAAGGCTGGACTCTTGACCCCTAGCCTTCCCCCAGGCTACCGAGCAGCTCCAGATCGCTCTTCGGGATCCTGTTGCCTTACGGGCGCTCTGCGACCTGCTGGCCTCGGCGGCCGACCCTCAGGTGAGGCCTTTGCCCCTTCCCGCTGACTTTCCTACAGACTGCCACTGGACAAGCTCCAGCATCCTTCCAGAGGCCAGCTCAGTGCCTTCCTGCCTGGACGCTCAAATCCTCATATCCCTACTTCCTTGCCTTAGATCCGCCAGTTCGCAGCGGTGCTGACCCGCAGACTACTGAACACCCGCTGGCGACGGCTGGCGGCTGAGCAACGCGAAAGGTGGGCTGGGCCTGGGGCGGGGCGGGGCGGGGCTGAGGCAGCCTTTGGGCAAGCCGGGTACCAAACACCTGCCACCTGTGTTCTAGCCTCAAGTCTGGGATCCTGACGGCTCTGCAGAGAGAGACAGAGTAAGTGCCTATACCTTCTCTCCAGATCCTAATCGACTCTAGGCTGAGATTGGGTTTCTATCTTCTCTTTCAGCTCCAGGCTGAGACTTGGGGGGCGGGGACTTCAGTCCAAGGGGAAAGGGAGGATTCTAAGGCTATGATGAAGATTAAAGTTTTTGAAAATGGGCTATGATGATCTGCCAAACCAAATCAGAAGAATGAAACTGAAATTCAGGCTGAGATTGAACTCATCAGATTACATATCTCCAATGCTGCTGGGCTCTCTCTCAGCTGCCGTTTCCTGTGTCCCACCTTGGCAAAGACCTGTGTTCACATCTCCTGAAGGTTTCTCTCTTGGGCACCCCATACAAGCTGGGCCACTGTGTGCAGGGGAAGGTATTGGAGGGTGACTGTGGAGCTCTCTCCTGTTTCAGGCACTGTGTGAGCCTTAGCCTGGCCCAACTGTCAGCCACTATTTTTCGAAAGGAAGGCCTGAATGCCTGGCCTCAGCTCATGCGGCTTCTTCAGCACAGTACCCACAGCCCCCACAGCTCTGAGAGAGAGGTACCATCACACAGTTGGCAGAAGGGAGGGACCAAGAGGCTGGATAGACTACATTAAGCTTTACCCTCTGATCCTCTACTTCCAAACAGATGGGGCTTATGCTGCTGAGTGTAGTGGTAACCTCTCAGCCCCAAGCCTTCCAACCCCACCATCGGGAACTGCTTCGGCTTCTGAGTGAAACTCTTGGTGAGGTGGGCTCTCCTGGGCTGCTCTTCTACTCCCTACGTACTCTGACCGCCATGGCCCCCTACTTCAGCACTGAAGACATGGTGAGATGTGGATCCTTATCTCCCTGACTCCCTTTCCTCAGGCCTTTATGTCCTCACCCTTAAAGGTTATAGAGCTGCTTTGAATTCTTTATCTTCAGGCTCGGCGCCTGTGGCTCAAGTGGCTAAGGCGCCAGCCTCATACACCTAAGGTGGAGGGTTCGAATCCAGCCTGGGCCCGCCAAACAACAATGACAGCTACAACCAAAAAATAGCTGGGTGTTGTGGTGGGTGCATGTGGTCCCAGCTACTTGGGAGGCTGAGGCAGGAGACTTGCTGTGAGCTGTGATACCACAGCACTCTACCCAGAGGGACAGCTTGAGGCTCTGTCTCAAAAAAAAAATAATTCTTTATCTTCCTTCCTAGCAATTGAGAGGGGTGATACTGCAGTTGGCCAGGCCTGGCTGGTGTGCCTGGGTTTCTCTAAAGAGTTTAGGCTTTGGGAAAGTTTCCAGCTTCTGGGGCTTGAGGTGAGCCTGCCTCATGCTTTTTGTGATTCACTTCATCCTTTGTTCCCAGCCTCTCGCTCGGATTTTGGTGCCCAAGCTTATCATGGCAGTGCAGACGCTGATCCCTGTAGATGAGGTGAGCATAAGTGGGCTGGAGTTCTGCTGGAAGGAAAATGCAGGACCATCCAGCCTGGTCCACAGAAGAAGATCATGGTAACCCCATGACTTATTTGTCTGTCAGGCAAAGGCCTGTGAGGCCCTGGAGGCCCTGGATGAACTGTTGGAGTCAGAATTACCCATCATCACCCCCCACCTCTCTGAGGTCCTCACATTCTGCCTGGAGGTGAGCCTGGGGTGGGCACAGTACCTGCAGCATGTTCTACTGAGAGTTTCCTTGCCTGTCTCTGATTCTCATTCGTCTCTGGGCAGGTTGCTAGAAACGTGGCCCTGGGCAATGCAATACGTGTGCGTATTCTCTGCTGCCTCACTTTTTTGGTCAAAATCAAGAGCAAGGTGAGTGCCCTCCAATGCATATCATCTCACCCCTATCTCAACCCTTAGCCTCACTCCTAGGGCTTTCTGTCTAACTCGGGATATCTAAAGTACTATGGAGGTTCAAGCCTTTGGCCTGGCCTTACCCCAGCTCCTGCAAAGGAGATGGGGAGTCTCTTGTTGGACCTTTTTTGGCCTAAAATCCTGGAATTTTTGATGTAAGTCTGCCTTGGAAGTAGATTCTTAGGGATACTGCTCTGCCTTCTCTCTTAGGCCTTACTGAAGAATCGTCTCCTGCCATCCTTGTTGCACACCCTTTTCCCCATAATGGCTTCTGAGCCCCCTCTGGGCCAGTTGGATCCTGAGGACCAGGATTCTGAAGAGGAAGAGTTGGAGATTGGGCTGATAGGGGAGACTCCCAAGCACTTTGCTGTACAGGTGGGATATGGGGCAGTGGTAGGCAGCAAGGTGTTAAGGTGGCTATGAGAGGTTAGGGAAGCAGAGATGGAGTCAAGCAAAGTTTCTCTGTCCTATCTCAGGTTGTGGACATGCTGGCACTACACTTGCCTCCTGAGAAGCTCTGTCCCCAGCTGGTAAGGGTTACTTGGTTCTTCTGGTGTCCTTACCACAGGTGTGCCTAGTCCCCTAAAGCCAAGGATGTTTGGACCTTGGGAGGTGTAAAGGGCCTGTTGCCACAGGAATGGGCAGGTTTTTGCTTGGATTTTAGAAGAGTGACATGTGTTCCCCTAGATGCCCATGCTGGAAGAGGCCTTGAAGAGCGAGAGCCCATACCAGCGAAAGGCTGGATTCCTGGTGCTGGCTGTGCTGTCTGATGGAGCTGGTGACCACATCAGACAGAGGTCTATTGTCCTGTCCTTGGGTGAGGGTGGTTCATGGGGAGGAGGACCATGGCAATCATGGTTTATGCTTGTTGCTCAAGCTTAATTTTCAGTAGTGTTTCTTCCCATTTTCAAAAGTGTCATGGTTTGGGAGATAATTGAAATGGCCTCCCAGCTATAGGGACCAAGAGATGGTACCCACCATCTGGTGACAGAAAAAGCCATTGTTTTTCCAGGGGAAATAAAGAACATGTCAGCCTAGGGCTCTTAAGTCCTGCCCCTCAGACTATGTCCTCTTGTCCTGCCCCCATCTAGACTCTTGCCCTCACTGCTGCAGATTGTATGCAAAGGCCTGGAGGACCCCTCACAAGTTGTGCGGAATGCTGCACTTTTTGCCCTGGGCCAGTTCTCAGAGAACCTGCAGGTCAGCATGGTTGAATGTGGGCAGCTGCCACTTGGGAGTCCCCTGCCCATGCCAGGGACCATCTTACCCTTGGCTTTTATCTCTTCAAGCATCCCTGCTGCCCTTGGCACTCAAGTGTGTGCCTAAAGGTGGACCTGACTTAGGCTCTGATTGTTTCTTCCCCCAGCCCCATATCAGCAACTATTCAGGGGAGGTGATGCCACTGCTCATTGCCTACCTGAAGTCAGTGCCTCCTGGACACACACACCACCTAGCTAAGGCCTGCTATGCCCTGGAGAATTTTGTGGAGAACCTAGGTAGTGATGGCAGTGGAGAGCACGGGGGAGGTGGTGAGGCTACAGCTTTGGCTGAAGGGTGCAGGATGTGCATATCCCCAAATTGCTGCCTGCTGTGGGAAAAGGGTGTGCAGGGAGGGAGGTGATAAGACAAAAACCAGGAGACTTAGTTTGAGTGGTACAGTGATGTCCTTTCCTACAGGGCCTAAAGTGCACCCTTACCTTCCGGAGCTTATGGAGTGTATGCTACAGCCTCTGAGGAGCCCCAGCAGCCCTCGGGCCAAGGAGCTGGCTGTGAGCTCCCTTGGTGCTATTGGTGAGGAAAAAAGCAGGAGGTGTGGGCATGGAGTTCACCCAGAGATACTGTGTCAGACAGTCCCCACCTCCAGCTCTGATTCTGTCCTCTGTCCTGTAGCTACCGCTGCCCAGGCATCCCTGCTTCCCTACTTCCCCACCATCATGGAGCACCTGCGGGAATTCTTATTGACAAGCCTTGAGGTCCTTCAGCCTGTACGGATCCAGAGCGTGGGTGAGTGAGGTTCCCAGGCGCTCACCTGGTGTTCACAGAGATCTCTTCCTCTTCCCCAGGGCAGCACAGGTATCTTCCTTCTCATCAAAGGAAGCATCCTATATGTTGTACCTATGAATAGGGTGGGATTTCTTAATTCTTCCCAGCTGCCACCTTTGGGTCCCCAGCCTACCTAAAAATCCTGGTGCTAACTGAGCCCTTGCTTCCACAGAGACACTAGGGGTGCTGGCACGAGCAGTCGGGGAGCCCATGAGGCCCCTGGCTGAGGAATGCTGCCAGCTGGGGCTGAGCCTCTGTGACCAGGTAGACGACCCTGACTTGCGGCGCTGCACGTGAGTGACCCTCACCCTGTGCCTGTCCCAGCGCCCCCTGCCTACCCACTGGACCCACAGTCTGTACCCTGAATCATAATCCTCTGGTTTTGGACCAAAGCCAGGTTTCCCTGGGCTCCCCCATCCTGTCTGGCTACAACAAGCAGGACTATACAGCTTCTGTCTACTTCAACCAGGTACAGCCTGTTTGCAGCCTTATCAGGGCTAATGGGTGAGGGCCTGGCACCCTACCTACCACAAATCACCACACTCATGCTGCTGTCACTGCGTTCCACCGAAGGCATTGTGGTGAGCAGAAATAAGTGGACTGGGTCAGTTGGGCAAGCTCTGTAGTGGGATTATCTCCTGGGCCTAGCAAAGCCAAAGGCCTTGCTGTGCCTCCTCCATCCAGCCTCAGTATGATGGAAGCAGCTCCTTTCTTCTGTTTGACGATGAGAGTGATGGGGAAGAAGAAGAGCTTATGGATGGGGACGTGGAAGAGGAGGATGACTCTGAGATCTCAGGGTGCGGAGGGGTACTGTTCTGGTCAGAGGAATTTAGACTTTGATTTTGGACAAAGGCTCAGTATGGCTCTGTTACTTCTGATGCCTGCTCACTGCTGTCCCCTCCCCTTACTCTAGGTACAGCGTGGAGAATGCCTTCTTTGATGAGAAGGAAGATACCTGTTCTGCTTTGGGGGAGATCTCTGTGAACACAAGGTGAGCATTGGTCCTTCCCTAGTACTGGGAACCTGCCTGGGAGCCCCTTCCCTAGAGCTGTGTCTCTCCCCATAGTGTGGCCTTCCTTCCATATATGGAAAGTGTCTTTGAAGAAGTATTCAAATTGCTGGAGGTGAGTGGGCCAGTGGGCAGAGTGGGTGGGGTCCTCAGGCTGGAGGCCCTATGTCCCCCTGCACATGGCAGGCAAATCTCACTTTCCTTATCCCACAGTGCCCTCATGTAAATGTGCGGAAAGCAGCCCATGAGGCTCTGGGTCAGTTCTGCTGTGCATTGCAGAAGGCCTGTCAGAGTTGTCCCTCAGAAGCCAACGCTACTGGTGAGAAGGGGAGGCCAAACCAGGCTGTAGTCTGTTGAGGAGGGGCAGGGCCTTACTGGGCTTCAGCCAATAATGTCCTCAGCTCTACAGGCTGCCCTGGCCCGGGTGGTACCATCCTATATGCAGACAGTGAATGGGGAACAGGAACGTCAGGTGGTAATGGCTGTGCTCGAGGCCCTGACAGGAGTGCTTCGCAGCTGTGGGACCCTCACACTGCAGCCCCCTGGACGCCTTGCTGAACTCTGCAGCATGCTCAAGGCTGTGCTACAGAGGAAGGTGAGTAGGGCAGGTGGGCTTCGGGAAGAGGAAGTGCCAGGCCCAGGTGGGGGATAGTCAGAAGCTACAAATCCAGCTGTTCAGCTCTCTCCCCACATCCCCATGAAAAGGGGCAGGAGCGGCTGGGCTAAGCTGAGTTATTTCTTCCTGCAGACACCCTGTCAGGACACTGACGAGGAGGATGAGGATGAGGATGATCAGGTGAGAGCTGTGGATGAAAACTGGAACAGGGCAGTCCCTAGTCTCAGGGGCAGTGCTGGACCATGCAGCTGGGCTTGGCCTGGAGCAGCCAGGGCTACTAGAAGAGATTGGTAATGGCCAGAATGATGCAAACCTGATCCCACCAAGCCAGTGTGATTTCAGGAAAGGAGAGCAGTATGTACTGGGGTGGGCTTGGAGTGATAGGTGGGGGCAGGGCTAGGTGAAGAAGCTGGGGTGTAAAAAAGCCCAGCCTGGGCAGGACAGCCCCAGGGACCTCCTGCAGCCAGTGGTGGAGAATGGGGAGGAGGTGTGCACACAGCTGGCCCTGGTGCTCCAGCCCCTTTCGTGACTCCACAGGCTGAATACGATGCTATGTTGCTAGAGCATGCTGGAGAGGCTATCCCTGCCCTGGCAGCTGCGGCTGGGGGAGATGCCTTTGCCCCCTTCTTTGCTGGTTTCTTACCATTATTGCTATGCAAGACCGTAAGTGTCCATACTCTGGCTTTGAACACTAGTCCATCTGTGCACCCAGTGTTCACCCCAGCTTTTATTTTAGTCTCAGACTGATTTATACTCCTCCCTGCCCTCTCCCAACAGAAACAGAGCTGCACAGTGGCAGAGAAGTCCTTTGCGGTGGGGACCTTGGCAGAGTCCATTCAGGGCCTGGGTGCTGCCTCAGCCCAGTTTGTGTCTCGACTGCTCCCTGTGTTGTTGAGCACCTCCCGGGAGGCAGACCCTGAGGTGCGGAGCAATGCCATCTTTGGGCTGGGTGTGCTGGCAGAACATGGGGGCCACCCTGCCCAGGAGTATCCTCAGCTTGCAGAAGGGAAGGAGAGTGGTTGGGAGAGTGTCCTTAAGAGTTGGGTTTGGAAGAGGTCTATCCACGTGTACCCATTCCTTGACTGTGGACCAGACACTTCCCCAAGCTGCTAGGGCTTCTTTTGCCCCTCCTGGCACGGGAGCGACATGATCGTGTTCGTGACAACATCTGTGGGGCACTTGCCCGCCTGCTGATGGCAAGTCCCATGAAGAAACCAGAGCCCCAGGTGAGGGAGGAGGGCCCCAGGCAGAGCCTGGAAGCGGAGAAGGGTGGTGGAGAGGTCAGGGCCAGTTAGCCTGAGGCATCTGTGTGTCCAGGTGCTGGCTGCTCTGCTGCATGCCCTGCCACTGAAGGAGGACTTGGAGGAGTGGGTCACCATAGGGCATCTCTTCAGCTTCCTATACCAGAACAGCCCTGATCAGGTAACCCCGATGCTGGCAGCCTTCAGAGGGGAGTGTGATTCTCCAGTCTCTCTGAGAGGCAGAGATGGTGGCAGTTACACCTGATGCAAGGTGACAGTATCAGCTGTACTTAGACATTCCCTATTCTGATTTGTCAACAATGATTGGCATCCAATCCTGAATGGGAGAAGGGTCTTCTGCTCTTCACACAGGCATTTCCTTAAGGAGTTCCATTTCTACTCTCTGGTCTGAGCCAGACAACTTTCCTAGGCTAATTTCTTAGACTGGAGCACTTTTTTTCTACTCTTTTCTTTCTTTCTCTCTTACTAGATAGTCTATGTCACCCAGGCTAGAGTGCTGTGGTGTCAGCCTAGCTCATAGCAACCTCAGACTCCTGGGTTCAAGCAATCCTCTTGCCTCAGCCTATGGAGTAGCTGAGACTATAGGAACCTGCATGATACCTGGCTAATTTTTTCTGTTTTTAGTAGAGATAAGGTCTTGATTTTGTTCAGGCTGGTCTTGAATGAGGATCCTTTTTGTCTTGACCTCCCAGAGTACTAAGATTACAAATGTGAGCCATCTTGTCACACATTCCCTGTTCTTTCTTTTTTTTTTTTT